TTGTAATGTGACAAAATATGGAAAAGTTCAAGGGGTATGAATACTTTTGCAAACCACTGTATACAGATTGTTGTTGTATTTGTTGTGTTTACACATCACACAATAAATATCATGCTTTAGTATTTACACAGCTAATGAGCTTATATTGTGACTTCATGGCTGATTTGTTCTTAGATAATATTTAAGTTTCAATTTAAAGCTGAGTTTTGAACGTTTTGCCTAGATTGATGTTATAAAATTGATCTTTAAAACCTTTAGTTAAAAGGGGTGAGCTTAAATGGGAGGGAAATGATCCTTTCTGAAAATAATTTTCAACATCCAATCTTCTGTTTAAGTCCTTCACAGGTTATTGATAAGAGAATTAGATTCAGAAAGTTCTGTGTTTTTTGAAGCTTACAGTTTCCAGCTTGTTCTTGGTTCTTTGCAGAACATGTGACTGTGAACGGTCCTGAGCTCTCACTGTGCACTGAAGTAGAGGCATGTGAGTTTGTTTAGCTGTGGAGTTTCACTTTGGCTAAAATAGGCTGTTGCTGCGCCCCACTGCTTCATCTTCTTTAATGAGCCCGCTACCTGTTTGATATATGATACATGATGTATTTGAGTTTGAGATAAAAACTAGTGGACTGACATTTGTTTTCTCAAGTGAATAAAAGCTGAGATCAAATTGGGTGTTTTAATTTAGTCTGATAATTCTTATTCTACAGCCACTTAAGCAAAAACATGTATTAAATCAGATTAATCTGGGTTTAGTTTCAGAATAGCTCAGTGTTTGTTATTGAATGCCAGTGAGGTTGGAGCTGTTTTTAATGTCAGTACAGCTGAGTGCACCTTAAACTTCTGATTCCTGTTTTAGCACAAAGTCTCTTCYATAGTTTGAATTGAGGTAAAATTTGTTTAGCAAGGTTAGTTAAATTGATTTAAATTGGAGCATTTCACTCCTCATATTATTCATTTGTGGTTGTAGAATATTCTTGTGACGATAAGTAATTTGATCCTGTCTGACTGCACTAAAGGGAAAAAACAAAATCAAAAGAGCGGAATAGGAAGAATTGGACTTCAGTAATTACCGTCAGTTTCAGGCTGAGCAAAAGGGAAGTGTGTTCTGGAAATGAATGCAGATTAATAAGTGATGCTTGCGAGTGAGGCTGTGGGATATTAGTCGCTCATCACACAATCTTATGATCAGTATTCCTCTTTGAAGATGAGTTTCAGGTATAAAATTTGAAAACAGAAATTAGATCAAATTTCTCCAAAGAGATTCATTAAACCTCTCTAATTTGACACGTTTCTATGGCTCAGGTTATTTTCTGTGCCAGGCTTTGGTTAGGAAGACAAATCCAGTACCAAAGCACTCATTTGCATCTGTACTCTGTTTTTGGTTTTTGTAGACTCATAAATTAGGGCTGAAGATATTGASTATTTTAGAAATCAAAGACTATCGAATAACTCGTCGTTTGAGTAATTTGATGTTCAGCATTGGTGTTTCTCAACACTTTTTAGCATGGACGCATCCATCTATCCTGTAAAATTGTAGCTGCACCAACCTCTCGATCTGTGATGCAACACAGATCATTAGAGGCAGGTGTATTGGTCTAGGTATCGACACCAAGATGAAAATTGGTATCGGATCGATACTTGTGGGATGAGATCAATTTTTTTTGTTTACATTTTATTTGCACTACTGACTTTATTTTTCATAAATGGCATTAAATAATATTCAACTAACTAAAGGCAAAATCAAGTAATTCAATAAACATGACAAGTATTGGAATTGACAATACTAGCTCAGTATTTACTTGGTATTGGATCAAAACCAAAATTCCTAGTAGCACC